TTCAGGGATGGAGAGGAAACCGGTCCCTATGATGGTCCTAGAACTGCAGGTATTTGAATATGATTATTAGATCTTCAACCCTCTTGCACATGCACACTCTTGCACTTGCCCTTTGTTTTCCACCTCTATGTTGTCTTCTCTGTGTACTGATCTTCTGCATTCCTATTTTCTTCCTGCAGATGGTATTGTTGGTTTCCTTAAGAAGCAGGCTGGACCAGCTTCTGTGGAGCTCAAGTCTGACGCAGACTTGGCGAAGTACACTTCGGACCAAGACGCAAGTGTTGTCGGTAAGTTACTGTTTGAATTTCAGTCCCTGTTTGAGAATTTAGACACGATGGGTTTGCACCCTGATCCGAACACGATTAATTTTTCCGTCTCAGGGTTTTTCGCTGACGCCAAGAGCACGGAGCAGGTAGAGTTCATGAAGTCAGCGAGCGCCTTGAGGGACAGCTACCGGTTTGCTCACACCAACTCTGAGGCTCTCCTCCAGAGCCACGGCATCGATGGAGCGTGAGTAGCTCTCTGCCTTATCACTGCGTCATCATCTTTTACACGTTTGGTGTCAGCAGTGTAGCTGCAGCAAGACAGCCTTGACATTCCCTAATCTTTGGTTTGCAGGGGAATCGTCCTTTTCCGCCCACCAAGACTCAACAACAAGTTTGAAGAAAGCTCCGTCACATACAGCGAGGGCGTATTCACAAACAACAAAATAAAGAAGTTCATCCAGGACAACGTGTGAGTTTTGCAAAGCACATTTGCAGTAGTCTGACTTGCTGTCAGTAGTAAAACGGATGTGTGCGTGTGTGTGGGTGGAGAAGGTGGGGCCACCCATTCTGCAAACACAATCTACTCCAGCCGAAGGAATGCTTACCTGTATCAAACTGTTGTATTTGTTGTCCAACTAACAGACTTTATAATCTGGTGTCATGGTCTTTTGGATGTTACGTTTTTTGAAAAGTAACTAGTTATTTGCTGTTTTTGCCGATCCTTGCGGCTGGATCTCTTATCAAGACGTAGACTGAAACTGCGCTATAAAAACTGAGTAAAGTGATTCCTCTGTTAACTGTGACAAAAGTGCACTAGTTGTCCTCAGCAGCGTGACTGAGAGTGGGCCCCTTTTCAGTTTTACTTTTACTTACTCACAACCGACGGATTGCACTGCTGTAATCTGTAAACCGATCTCTAGATTATGTGGTTGTCCATGACCTTCTGACGGCATACAACTTATCGTTGTTTTGAATTCCTTTTGTGTAAACGGACTCATTCTTACTTTCTCTGTTCCACACAGCTTTGGAATTTGCCCCCACATGACGGAGGACAACAAAGACCAACTGAGGGGCAAAGACCTGCTGGTGGCCTATTACGATGTCGATTATGAAAAAAACCCCAAGGGCTCAAACTACTGGAGGAACAGGTGTGTGTGGCTTTATTCTGTTTAGCTGAACCAGTTTGTCCTCTGATACTTGGAACAGTGGCCCCTTTTACTCTACAAACGCAGCATTCGATTTGAGGCGCAGCTTACATCTGGTTTCTGCTTTCTAACCAAACGTTGATCACAGGGTGATGAAGGTGGCCAAAGGCTTCCTCGATCAGGGCAAGAAGCTGAACTTCGCCGTGGCCAGCAGGAGCGCTTTCGGCCAAGAGGTGTCTGAGTTCGGCATGGACAGCAGCTCGGGAGAACTGCCCCAGGTGGCCATCCGCACCGGCAAGGGAGACAAATACGTCATGGCCGAGGAGTTCTCGTAAGTCAACTCGCTCGTGGTTCTGTTTGTTCTCCCGCATAAGCGACCTATTGTTAAACGTGCAAATGTACACACGCCTTCTTGTTGGTAACTGAACTAATGAAGGGTTTACATGAAGAGCCACTATTTATCTCATTAAATGCATATTTCACATTTTAGATATTTTGTGACTTAACGCCCCAAATAATCCATGGAGCATTTTCCCACATAAAAAATAAAGGAAGAAAAAGAATGAACACTGACGTGGAATTCCAGCAAAAAGCTGCCATTGCAAATCTAAAGGTTTTCTGGGCCAGATTTCATCACCACACGCTGTGTGATTTTTAATGGTGAAGGGTTGTCTCCCTCATCCCTTTTTTATAAAAAAAGAGGAACTCAAGCTCTTTGTAAATGAAATTTGTACATTGAAGTGTGTTTACTAAGCAAAGTCAAAGATGTAATGATCTTGCTTTAGTTCATCCGAAACCCTCGGCCCTACGGACTCCTTGAACAAGTCCCCTTGTGCTTCCCTCAACAGGCGTGACGGTAAAGCTCTGGAGCGTTTCCTGCAGGATTATTTTGATGGCACGTTGAAGCGTTACCTCAAATCCGAGCCCATCCCCGAAAATAACGACGGGCCCGTCAAGGTGAGACGAAACATCCAGGAGTGTTCATGATGTGTGTTGAGCTTTAATAATTGTAAAACTGTTACATTCCACACTAATCATAACTTGACGAAGCGCAAGTTTACATGCGACTCAACATTAAAAAGCTCCTCAAAGCTGCTCATCCGTCCGGAGTGAGTCAACATGTGACCTCCATCTTTTGTGTTCAGGTCCTCGTGGCGGAGAACTTCGACTCGATCGTCAACGACGACAGCAAAGACGTGCTGATCGAGTTCTACGCTCCGTGGTGCGGACACTGCAAGAGCCTGGAGCCCAAGTTCAACGAGCTGGGAGAGAAGGTGAGGCGAGCGTGTTTTGTCTTCAGGTTCAGTTCTGTGAGATGGTCCATAATATAAGATTTCTTATTTAACACGCTGACAGCCCTTCGTGCTAGTTTTGTTATAGCAGCACTGGGTTCATTTTGACGGTTTCTCTCCTCTGCACTTAAAGCTCTCCGGTGATCCCAACGTCATCATCGCAAAGATGGACGCCACCGCGAACGATGTGCCGTCTCCGTATGAAGTCAGCGGGTGAGTTGTGGAATAGAGTTCTCTCTACAGTATAGAGAAGAATCACGATGACTCAGCAAAAAAAAGTCCACCTTTACTCCGGGCCTCTCCACGGGGGGCGTTGTGCTGCCGGGGCGCGGCCGAGAGGTGAAGCGCTGACTAAGTAATTGAGAAGTGTTGAGCTGATGTGCAGCTCTGTCCAAATAAAGAAACAAACCTCTGGGATGTGTATCCAGTTGGTTTGTGGCGTTAAACAATATTCATCAGTATCCACCTCAAACGGTGTTGATTTTAGAATGTTTGGGGTCTTATCTGACAAGAGGCTGTCATCTTTTGGTTAGATTAAATTATGAATAAAATGAATTTATCAATCTCCTCAACCTTTTTTCCCCTTCCAGTTTCCCCACTCTGTACTTCTCCCCAGCCGGACGCAAGACGAGCCCAAAGAAATACGAGGTGAGAATGAGCTCTGCGTGACCCTCAAATACAGAGATCACTTTTTTTATGTTTTAAAATCCGCTGACGCTCGTCTCCCTCCACTCGTGTTGCAGGGAGGTCGCGAGGTGAGCGACTTCATCTCCTACCTGAAGAGGGAGGCCACCAACCCCCTGGTGGTGGAGGAGGAGAAGACCAAGAAGAAGAAGAAGAAGGACGACGACGACAAGACGGAGCTATAAAAGCTCATGACAGGAACTCCACATCCCAATCGCAACATGAGGAGGATGATTGTGGGAAACATGCAAAGAACGAACTGAATTATATTCCACTCTCTTTAGTGAACTACCGAATGCTCTGAGGCCAAGTCGAAAAAGACGCGGCCCTCCCTTTTTAGGTCCTCCGCTGCTCTGGGAAAGCTGCTGAGAGGTGGAGGCCAGGGCCTGCTCGATGTCTAAAAACAAAAACACATTTTTAGGGAAGAGGGGACAGCTTTTCAATATTGAGATTTTTATTTCCACTGGTCTGTCAGCTACGCCTCGGGCTGATGGTGGCGGTTGGACACCAGTCTCCAGTCATGTCACTTTGGTTTTTGTTGTTGTCGCAGGGAATAATGGCTTTTGGTGAATTCCTTAATTTTCTTTTTCTTTTTTTTGTACATTTGGAAGGATTGTGAAATAAAAAGGCCCACAAAACCAAAATAAACAGTTTGATCTTTTTCATGACCCACATTAATTGAGCAACCTTGTTTGGTCTTGGAAGAAACATTTTGTGTAATTGTTTATGCATTAAGTAGTTACATTTAGGGGCAGCGTTGTCATGTTACAGCTCTATTTATGTTAATCTGACATATTTTATTGAATACTTAGCTCATTGTTGGCTATGTTATTGTTAAAAAGAAACCTCAATAACCAAAGTCCAAAACCTAAACCCCTTTGAATTTGCATGTTTTGTCCTTAATGTAGCTTAATAATTGTTGAAAACTGAATTTCGTTATTATTGATTGGTTTTGGTTTAAATAATTGCATAAACATTTTAGCATAAAAGCTGTGACTGACAAACTGGCTACATTTAATAGTATTGACACCTAATGAAAGATGTTAATGTTTCTCTACATAATAAATGCAAATAAAGACTAAAGTCCAACCGTGCATTAAATATATTGGAATGTGTCCAAACGGAATACAGGACTGCCGGCTCGTGCTTCTGCTTCTGCGTCGTTGCGTCGACGCACTCGTTTCAATTCATGGTTCTGCGTGTGTTGCAGAGCAATTCACCGCCAGAACAAGCGGAGTGACGTGTTTTGTTGAAGACGACCTAGAGTCTCACGTCTATTTAATTTGTTTATTTATTTATCATAGACGTTATTGCCCCGTGCATCGCCACTGCTGCTTTTATCAAGGACACATTTGTCCCGTATTTTCCTCCACAACTTTGTTCCTCTCGACCGGCAAACCGGCGTTTGCGGCAATCTCCCTCGGTATCGGGCTATGAAAGAGGAAATGTAAGACTCCGTAAAGGATGTAGGTAGCGGACCAATCGCAGCCTGGTGCGCTGCGGGAGGCTTGCGTCGCTAGTCTAGAAAAATGTCTCGACACACGCAAGGACGCAAGGAGGTCTTGCGTCTGCGTCGCTCTGAAAACGCAGAAGCATAAACTAGGCTTAAGGTTCATTTATATTATGGAAAACATGATTATTTCTGTGCAATATCGTATTCAACCAGTTGGCGGGGATATTGACTGTACCCTTCCGGTTGAGTAACTGCAGAAGAAGAGAAAGAGCCAATCAGATCGCGAGTAGAGAATACTCGCCCGGACATTTTCACAGACTGTACACGTGCCGGCTGAGGAGGTAATGATGACTTAATAAACCATATTGTCATGTTGTGGCCTTGCTGTTTTGTTTTAAGTCCAAGCGTTTATATCTCCGCGTTACGTCGTCCGTAATGTTTTGGTTTGAGGACGTGGCTCCTTCTTCAGCTAGCTAACGCTAACTAACTCGCATGTCAGCCGGTTTTCCCGTACTGAACAGCGAACTCCGTGGACATTTCTGTCCGTTTTTGAGTCTACTGACAAACCCCGCATGCAATACAAATTCCCTCTTTTTTTCTGAACCATTCGGGGGAAATGTCAAGTCCGGCTTCATTACGACAACCAGCTTATCGCGTGTATTTTAAACGATGCGTTTTTTTTAGTAACGACGTTTCGGCCACGTGTTGATAGCTGCTAACGTTACGCGTCTCTGTCCCACCGAATAGTCACGTTTTGTGCGAGTTTGGTGGGTCGTATATTCTGTTGTACGTTGTTTAAAGTGTGTTTTAAACCCCGTGTTACTAGCGACGGTTCACCTTACATAATGAGTCCTGTTCGGACAGGGGGGGGGGGGGGTTATTGGATTTGTTAGTCGTGTATCTATTATATATTAAATGAAAATGTTGATACAACTCTCTTCCTATATTTAATCACACTAAGCAGTCACATTATGACCTTCTGTGCCCTTTGCTTCAGCAACATTTTAGTTGAATACACCTGTTCAAAGCCTTCATTGGAGCCAATTTATTTTTAAAAAGCAGATCCTTATTTAGTTTTGTCCTACTGGATTTCTGTCCCAATGCTAATCAGAATGTTTTTGTGTGGTTTTATTTCCTCAGATAATGACCTTGAGCACCATCATTTGTTAAATATGTCTGGGCCGCCAGAAAGGAACAAAACTGCAACCACTGGAATTTGTGCAAAAAAAGTCGACGATGCTTCACTGCATGGAGAACCAGGAGAGCACCAGGAAGAAATGCCAGCAGAACATAAAAGCTGCCAAGACGAAGAGGAAAACAATTGACGACCAGAACGAACATCTGGATACAAATAAATTGGCCAAAAAAGCCAAATCCAGCAATGCTAACCAGGGAAGTCAAACGCCTCTAAACGCCGCAAACCAGAGAAGCGATGTATCAAAACGTGGACTCGCTGAGCCCCAATCTTCGGAGCACCACAGTTTAGACGCCGCCCTGAAAGACAGCTGGGAAATGGACAGTGGTTTCTCCTCAGAGGCGAGTCCCACGGCCAGCGGACGGAACTCGCCGTGTCTCCGTTCCATCAAGGTGGTGGCGTTGGACTGTGAGATGGTCGGGACGGGGCCCGGCGGGCGCTGCAGCGAGCTGGCCCGCTGCAGCATCTTGGACTACCATGGCAACGTGCTCTACGATCAATACGTCAGACCGCTTCGGCCCGTCACCGACTACAGGACCCGCTGGAGCGGCATCCGGAGGAAAGACCTGCTCAACGCCGTCCCCTTCGCCCAGGCCAGGGAGGAGGTGAGGCCTGCTGCACTTTGAGATCTGCTGATTTCATTCTGAACTAAAGCATTCGGTTACAACAGTAATCCACCAACAATGCAATTACAAGCGCTTTAGCTTGAGCACCGTATTACCAAATAATGAGCAGTTAGCCAGAACTTGTATTATTCACTAAACTCTTGAGCTATTTTTAGCCCTTTCCTTCATGCAAAACCCAAGTAGAACTGTAAACCCCACCTACGATGACATGTGACATTGTTAAGTAGGTCACCGGCTGTATGTCTGAAAGGATAGCACACGTTTTAAAAACAAAACTAACCTTTCAGGGAAAGGCTAAAGTAAGGAGACTGAATGCCTGAGTTGTTGTTTTGCTCCATACTGAGAAACGGACAGAATTTCAAATCAACTGCAGGTTAAATAAGAACTAATCCCGCTGCGCCTGGTGACAAGTCTGGGAAATATTCTGTGCATTTTAAATGATTTATTAAGCTCCACATTCAGTTCATAGTGGCTCTGTCAAGTTTAACCGCAGCCGGATTGTCCTCTTCATGTGTGCTCTTCTGCACTGGCTTCTCTCCTCTAGATCCGCACTATACTCGAGGGAAAAGTTGTCGTCGGCCACTCCATCTACAACGACTTCGAGGCGTTGGACATGCTGCACCCGGGTCACATGACCAGGGACACATGCACGACGCCCCACCTCCGCCGGTTGGCGAGTTTCCCCAAAAGTCGCCGCTCTTCCCTCAAAATCCTCGCCGGCAGACTGCTGAGCAGGAGGATACAGGTGAGCTGTTACGTAAAATCTCATGAATCAGATATCAAGGAATTAAACATTCCGGGTAAATGGGGGTTGATTAAATCAGTTTAAATTGAAGCGTATCTGAGAGTGACTTTCCTCGTCCTCTTCACCTGGCCAGGTGGGGCACAGAGGTCACTGTTCAGTGGAAGACGCGCTGGCCGCCCTCGACCTCTACAAGCTGGTGGAAGGCGAGTGGGAGCGGGAGCTGCAGAGCCAGCTGAGGGACGATGGAGCGCCGCTAGAGCCCAGCTTTGCCGCCTCCAACCACTACATGCAGGACGAGTACTGGCCGAACAGCGTCGTCGGCGACAGCCAATGAGAGGACAGTGCGCCCAACGCCCCGTGACATCACATGGGGATTTTCAGTCACCACAGAAACTCTAGATAATGAATGTGAAGAGTTTGACTGCAAAACCAAGTGATTTAAGTCACTGGTCTGTATTGTCTGCACGTCCACCATCACGTTGTTAAACATGGTCCAGGGCAACTTCTTTGCTGTGATTGCAGAGCTGCGAACTGCACAGTTCATCGTTACAGATATGTTGTCTCTTTAAACTGGAGGTGATTAAGTTATTAAATGAATAGTAAGCAGTTCTGCTCTTACATTAAATGTACAGAACACTTTGGGAAAACACAAACTGCAGTTTCATTTGAGTCAGTTATCAAACCAGGTGACGCTTTTAGAAGGGAAACACATTTTTAAAAACTAGTTCAACCTGTTGCAGCTGCCTCCGAACACGGAGCCTCAAAGGTTTTATATTGTAATGATGGTATTTCATTATCTTTTCCTGTAAGCTGCTCTAAAATGTCCTAATAAAACGGCTTCTGGTTCAAATGAATGTGACTTTGTCTAGTTGTGGGTCCACTGCAGCAAAGGTGAAGATTTGCTCTGGGGTCACTTTTAATCGTGGTTTCTCTCCCAGCATTCCCAGTTAAATCCCAGTGACTGAAACACTCACGTGGATCTCTGAGCTGAACGCCGCTCAGCTTCTACGTCGCGCCGTAAAGGTATAAAGACGTCGGCGTTATGTTTATCATTTCTATCACCTTATCCAAGCATAGGAACAAGCTGCAGGTGGAGCTGTACATCTGTTTATGCACCGGGGCTCTAAATATCTTTTAAGTCATCAACTCACACACATGCAAAGCCTGAACTCGCCCCACAGCTCAGGCTGTAGGGAGGGAACACAATGGAACATTGTTTTTCACAATCCATCCAATTTTGTTCCCCAAATGGCTTTGTTGGGCTCAGGGCTGATTTAGCAGATTATTAGACTGCTCCTTCACTGTTGCATCAGGAGCAGAACGAGTGCTGCTGACGTCCGAGGCAAGAAGACGGACGGCAATGTGTCCCAAAGGACATATTTTTAAATAAATGTAACTTTTTAGTTATTTCAGTCATTACCTGCTGAAGTAATGTCTTGCTGAAGGCGTTGGCGTTTGGGAGGCTCGCCACATGGCTGTTCTCATCGTGATGCAATTAACCTACTAAAATAGTACAGAAAGGAAAAACAACTTAAAATATGTATACACTTGTATAAATGTATTTGAGTGAGACTGCTTCAGTGGATCATACATTACTGCTGTAGTATTGCAATATTGAACTGTGGATCTAACAGAATGCTTCATAGAGGTGATGTGGGTATTTACACAGAACTTTGAATGGTATCTAATGACAGGATTAGTGCAGCTCAAGACGAGTGAGGATTCTTTAGGAAATCGATGTACGAAGGTGTTTTTTAACATAAACATACATTTCATCCACCCACTGATGTCAAAGAGGTTTTGACGGAATGATTTCACTCGACAGCAAAATACCGAAATTACCACGACTACGGCCCCCTGCTGTGTTTGCTGGGTGGGGGCTCTTAGTTGATTTGTTTTCACTCACTCACACATCAATTACTTGAGATTAATCTGGAGATTTTTCGGGTGTCCGATTAGATGAAGTGCTCACAGAACTGAACACATTATATAAAGCTTTGCATTACTCTCATCGGGTACGACAACTAATCTGATCGCAGTGAATTGTGCATCGTTTAGGGTCCATGTTTACTGATGTGAATCCGCCACGTCGAAATCTAAAATCCTTGTGGCTTGGCTGTGGGTGTGTGTGTAAATGTGATTATGAAAACATATTTAAAGTAGATTTTGAAGCTTTTCCTCTTCAATCGGGATGATGGATCTATAGTTTTAGAGCAAAGATCTCATGTGATTTCTGATTTCTGAATGTGAGTACGAAATATAAAACCGGTTTAAAACCGTGTTAATAATGTGATGCATACAGTATTTGCCAAATAGATACTATTGCTTAATATGTAGTGTGCATATATAATATATTTGTATTTCTTATACGGTTAATATTTCCTTTATTGTTTGTATATGTTTGTTTTGAAAATATCTTTCTTACTCTTCAGTTGTAATTTTCAATCAATCTCATTATTGATCCCAGTCCTTTGCATGCAGAGTTAAAAATAAATTAGAATAAATCAAAGACTAATTGGAAAAGTAATTCCTCCCGCCCGCTCGTTCCATTGAGAAATATTAGAGCCAGAGCTCCCAAAACAACATCACATCTCTGAACATGTGACGCAGGCCTCCTCCTCCCACTGCAGCGATCACGTTGTAGAAATTAAACTGGAAATCAGCTCTCACAATGGTCACTTTTCACTCAAGTCTCCTTGGAATTCCATCAAATCCCTCCTCCATCTTACACCACCTCTTACCTACTCACGGATGACCTCATGCGCCTCTTCATCGCGGGGAGCCCCTCCATCATTGGCCGGCCTCTCCCTCGCCATCACTTCCTCCCGCCCCTCCGGCCCTTTAGTGCTGATTGAAAAATAAAAAAAGTGGGATGTAATCTGGTGTGACGTCACTAATCCCGACGCTACAAATTAGAGGTCCCGTTGCAGCGGCTCCACACCACCGACGTCCCGGGACTCTTCACATCTGCCTCAGGTAAGAGTCCTCTGCTCCATCTGCTGCTTCGCCTCTCTTCTGCTCCTCAGACGGCGTACAGCTCCCCGTCTCTGCGGCGACTCGGGCTTCCTTTCCAAAGCGGTTTCAAGTGTGTAAATGGGGATATGGGGCTGCGTTTGAATTGCACTTGAGGTATTTGGGATTTAAATATAATAAAGAGTCAGCAGTTGCATCATGTGACCAAGTGTGACGAGGTTTAGAGCTGCATTCCTGCTCTTAGTTACTATACTTCCCTCATGAATCCATCTGATGGTTAGTATTAGTTGTGTTATATAAAGTGCAAGTTCAGTGTGTTTAGTATCTTAAGAGCTTCACATTCTAAAATCCACAAACATTTTACATGTTCTGCTGCAGATCTTAGAAAGAGCCAAGTTGTATTCTTTATTTTTACTTGAGAAAAGATAATTCAATAGATTAATTCATTGGTATTAGAAAAGCAGGATACTATGCAGAGTTTAAAACGCAGAGCGGGTGGAAGGGGGATTAAAGTGGAATACAGTGCGTCCATTGTTTGTTTCCTTTTCTTATTTACTGCCCTTTTATTTTCCCTCCAGACGGTGAGACGCTGATCTAAAGAACAGAAGAGATGGCTGTGGTTGTAAGTGTTGAGTCGATATTAAAACTTTACATGTATTTCTGAGCTCTAGAGGTTCTAAAGGCCTGTGATTGTTCACCAATCACCTTTTACTCAACCGCAGCTCTCTCAAGACAAAAGTAGCATTAGCAGCTAATCTCTACTTTTGGTCCTTACGGCGTATTTACAGGCTTTACTGGACTCGTGGGTTGTGGGGCAGATTAATGAAACACAGGCCTATTGATTATTGCTGCTGCAACACTGGTGTGTTCATACAATCATATCAGACATCCAAAGCAACACAAAAGAGACATTCAATGCACACCTAGTGTGAATAATCAATAGGTGATATGATCAAAATGCAAACTGCACTGCTGCTCAAAGACTCGTTTGCCTTTTTTCCATCTGCGTGTTTGTCGGTTGAATCAGTTACACATTTGTTTAGGATTTGACAGGTTAGTAGAATATCCCCCCCCCCACACACACATACATAGTCAAACTCCTCCTACGTTCATAGATTTTAAACATATTTATTTCAACATGAATACTGAATACGGCGATCGGCTTCCAATGGCAACCGACCGGGCAAAACCCCTTCTGGCCAAGTTGTGCGTCGCAGTTTTTTTAAGCATTCAAGCGACTCCCCCACCGAGCTGCGGCCGAGTCCCTCACGCCGGCGCTGTGCTTTCAGAGTGGAACTTACCGCATGGTGTCGGAGGAGGAGCAGGCCCTCCGGTCCAAGCTGGAGCGCCTCACCGTCAAGGACCACGGCCCGGTGTTCGGACCGTGCGCCAGCCTACCGGACCACACCAAGCAGAAGGTACACAGCGTCTCACCGTTAAGGGGATATTGACACAAATGCGATATTATATTCAGAACTGTTTTCAATTATCGTAGTTTCCCTCTACTAGAAAGGGAGGGGCGGGCGGCGGGGCATTCGGCTGGTTGCGATCTCCAACCTCACCTGTAGATGGCGCTATATCACACACACTGCTACTTTAAACTACAAGACCAGGACTGAAGTTAAGCTGTTCAGAATGTTTATCATCAGGAGGCAGCTAGGTGACGTTTACGAGCTTCCCTCGTGATTCAAACACGAGTTCAGAGAATAATAGACCAACCTGTTTTGATGGTGGTGTCACTAAACTGTCTATAAGCAAAGTCGGCTGGTCTGGTTCCGCCTGCAGGCCAAGGACGAGCTGAACGAGACGGATGAGAAGAAGGTGTCGGCTGTGAAGGAGCTGAGAGGAATAATCAAGGAGAAGGCAGATGGCGGTGACGATCTGGCCAAAGGGGTGCTGGACACGTTTGGGGAGAAACCCGACGGCCTGCTGGTCCGCTTCATCCGCGCCAGGAAGTACGACGTGCCCAGAGCCTTCGAACTGATGAAGGGTACGTCAGGAACAGGTCGAATGCCGAAAATGGCAATGATAAACGTGTATGAGTAATATGAGTTGTGGTGTTTAATGTATGTAGGGGAGTAATGCTTCAGACATAAAAACATATTATAACATAATGATGGATTTACATGTGTACACTAATAAATCAAACCCCCCCCCAGGCTATGTGCGCTTCAGGAAGGAGTACCCCGAGCTCTTTGAGAATCTGACCCCCGAGGCCGTCCGCAGCACCATCGAGGCCGGATACCCCGGCATCCTGCCCAGCAGAGACAAGTACGGCCGCGTGGTTCTGCTCTTCAACATCGAGAACTGGGACTACGAGGAGATCACATTTGACGAGGTACGAATTCTAATGAACAAAGTAAAGAAACAACCAAACAAATAAAATTAAAAATAAAAACACCTGCGTGATCCCGCACCAGGGCTCTTTTTTCATTTCTTTACGTAGTACCGTGAATATCAAAGGATCAAAATACATAAATTGATGTGTGTGTGCGTTCAGATCCTGCGTGCGTACTGCGTGATCCTGGAGAAGCTGCTGGAGAACGAGGAGACTCAGATCAACGGCTTCTGCATCATCGAGAACTTCAAGGGCTTCACCATGCAGCAGGCGTCGGGAATCAAACCCACGGAGCTCAAGAAGATGGTGGACATGTTGCAGGTGGGAAGGGCACGCGTTCAGGAGATGAAAGCTGCGAATAAAAAGCCACGTTGAGAAGAGAGCGTTTTGGAACGTTATTGTTTTTTTCTAAAATGAAGTAGAAAGACTTTTACCTCGACGGCGGGTGGAGCTGCGTGTGGTCGACTGTCTCTCCCCTCGTGGGTGTTTATTAAATCACCGCTTGTTCTTCCAGGATTCATTCCCTGCTCGTTTCAAAGCTGTGCACTTCATCCACCAGCCCTGGTACTTCACCACCACATACAATGTGGTCAAACCGCTCATGAAGGGCAAGCTGCTGGAGAGAGTGAGTCACACACACACAAACACACACGTTTTGTCAAATGGTCCACTGAGACATTCTTACAATTACATTTTTTTCTCGCAATTGTCCTCGCTGCAGGTGTTCGTCCACGGAGACGAGCTGGAGAACTACTACAAGGAGTTTGACGCCGACATCCTTCCCTCCGAGTTCGATGGAAAAGGCTCAAAGTACGACGGCAAGGCCACGTCGGCCAAGCTGTTCGACTGAAACGCACCCGCCCTGAAGGGTTATTGCATATTACAAACCCCACAGACTGTGGAGATCCAAAAGCCCCAAAAGCTCTGAATGAAAGTCTCGAGTGCATGTTGTGTCCACGAGGGTCGAACAAAGTGCAGGCCGACGTTCATTCATCTCTTCTCTTCATGGGGCTGGACACACCGGTAGTTTTTCTAGTTTTCAAAGCTTCGAAGGGTTCATTTTCATAATCATTATCCTAGTTATTGTCAAACTATGTGATGTGTAGTCAATGGGCAACGAATGCTAACGCACCAGTTGGACAATTAGACTGGTCACACACACACACACACACACACACACACACACGTTAAAGTCTTTAAATGTCAATTCATGAGTGATAATGTTAAGAAACATTAAGTTTTCTATCCCTCGCCTGCTTAGTTTGTGCTTAGTTTGGACCGTAGTTCAACCGCACAGCTGGTTTCAACACTGGCAGTGACCCCCGTCTCTCCTTAAAAGTACAAGGCCGATGTTCCAACAAGTGCCTGTCTCGTGTGTTTTTAGATTGTTCTTCAATATGAATATCGTTGTGCCACCTGGCACCAAAAAAAGTCAAATGTGCAATAAACTGTATATAAATATAAGCTGTGGTCTTTGAATCAATTTGCAATGTTATTAGCAATCTTAGTTTAGTGTGTAAACACTAATTAGTACTAAACTTAAGGGTGGCTTGCTAGCTGTAGAAATGTTTACCACCTTTAGTTTAAGTTTAAAGAGAAATGGTTCCTGATCATCTTCCTCGGAGGGAACCTCTCCTCTCCGTTTCAGTGCCAGTCTCTTTAAATCCTCCGCCGCAGAAAGCGGCACAAAGAGAGGAGACAAATCAAATTGGCTCGTTGAATCACATGCTTGAATCAGGATGCCCATAAAATCAGTTATGCAGGTTTTTAGTCTAAAGTTGTTAAGATATTTCTGTCTGGACCAAAGTGTTGACTGACTGATTCTAGGGCTGGTAGAATAAAATAAACAGACCAAGAAACAAATCTTTGTGAAAAATATTTATTCATAAATGAGATCAAATATGACTAATCAGCCATGACTTTGCAACACATGAGAATAAAACACATTAAGATCATAAATGTAACACCCAAATGCTAATAAAGAAAAAACTGTGAAGCCATTAAAGTGCAAGAAAAACGGTCCGTTTCAGTCTGGACCCAACGCACACAACCCGTGGTGCACGTTCTTTTCAGCTTCCAGGAAGGACACAACCAATCCTGTATTAAATCCGATGGTTGACATGTTGCGCAATAAAACTTCCAGGAACGCGGGTTGAGTGAGTTTGTGTTGTTACAGGACACAGGCTGTGACTCACAGGAAGCTGACTAATACATCAAACATTCCCACCAAAGGTCTGGAATAAACCAGATTTCTTAATCCGATTTCCTAACAATTCCAGCTCTTTATCAGTACAGCTCTGATAAGAATATCCCGTACCATAAGACGCAATAGTGGTGCGTTTTGTGCGATAGTCGTCACGTGTCTTTTCTCCTCTCTTCCCTATATTTAAGTTGGTTTGTTTTTCCACCCATCCGGTATGCAGCAATAAGCAGCTTAAAAACAAACCCTGCTCACCCCCGAAAAACAACTTACGAAACGTGAAACGCATTAATTAGCCCTTGTTCAACGTTAATATGAGAGGTGAGTCTAATACAAGACTTCCATTGTGTTTGAGCCAAAGCCATGCGCCTGTTTTAAGGAGTCACATGTGGTCAAAATCATTTTAAAAAAGTACAACGTTGAGATACTAGTTAATTGAAAAGTGAAGAGTGCTTTGGTCCATTCACTTGGCAAGTGCATAAATCGAGTCTGATACAGTACGCCTACTTGTTGAGTCCCGTTTTATCTCTCTTCTCTGCTTTTTGTTGTAAACAGTTTGACCCAACTCCGTCCTGACCGTGGTCGTTTTGAGAAGGTCAACAGGTACAATGACTGCTGTTGGTCCACTGCTCACGAGGGAATAGCAAAGACAAAACCCCCCCCCCCCAAAAAAACAATCAAATCAAATCCAGTCAGGCCTCAACAATAGAAACCAGTGTCATTTAACACGCTTTTCCTGCAATAAAAAGTCAAACTTCTCTTAAAGAAAACATACAAGATCATATTACATCAATATTAATTGGATTTCCAGTTTGACTGTACACAGTGTAAACCATGAATCACGTCCTATGCTCCTTACTAGGTAGCTCAATGACTCAAGAGAAGCACAAGGTTCATATTAATATTCAGGCACTTCTGGTGGTGAACTTTTTAAGATGAATCCCGACAGACTTTTTAAATAGGTGATAATATGCTTCGAAATATAAGTGAGCAGTATATTTTAAAGTATATTATGGTTAAAGGTGTAAGGCTTCACAATGTGTCCTTCACAGAGTTAATATTACAGTTCATTAGATTTGAGCCGTTCTCGTCGGGTTGTTTGTGCGTGAGGTGACGTTCACTTGTATGGGGATCGAGGACATTTTCCATACTTGTTTCTATAGAAAAACGGACTTCTCTCCTCTTACTGCATGCAGGTCAGAGGTCACGTTCGCTCTCTTCTGCTCGCTGACTGTCACCCCGGTTCTCTGCAGGCAGGAGCCGGCGTCCCGGCGGCCGCTCCTCCGGCAGGCCGGCCGGTTCTTCTCCCAGCGGCACAGGGCGTCGGCGTACTCCACGATGGCCTTGTCCATCCAGGTGAGGGGCTGGGGGAGCAGCATGGCCCCCTCGAAGAAGCCCAGGTGACCTCCGTGCTGCGTCAGTACGAACATCACGTTGGGCATTTTTTCTGCAAACAGAGGGAGCGGTGAGATAAACGTTAGAAATCAGCAGTGTCTATGTGAGGTATGGCTCACACCCCGTATGGTGCCGGCAGATTCATCAAATGAAGGAACTTCCAATAAAGGAACTTCAAAACACTAAAAGCCAGCTGCAAATATATTTGGGGTTCAGGAGGCATTACATTAGCTTTTTGCACTTCATTTTTTTCAAGTCAAGCGCCTTCACCCTTGACTTGTGAATATGGGTTCCTTTCTCTCAGAGTCTCATACAGTACGAAAAGGAGTGCCTTTAATCAAAGGACCTCCTTTTCCAAAACACACACATACATATGCCATCGTCCCTTTGCGTTCTGTCCCTCTACACACACCTACACACTCTCTCATGGGACACACACACACACATGTCCAACAGGGGGTGGGAGCAGAAATCCTGCAGCCGGATCCTTATTTTCAGTGGGTTTTGAGTGTGTGCGACGTCTACACAGAAAGTAAGAGTCTAAAGTAAAAAAAAAGAAAAAAAAAAAAAAGAAAAAAAACTGGTCACATGTTCCGATTCCCTTGAAATTGAAGACGAGTCTAGAATTTCACTTGTCAGGGTTTGGGTCATTACTCACACTGATTTAAACACATAGGGGCCAGTGCATGTGACCTGAGGAAAGACAGGGCCACACACACACACACACACACACATGCACGCACGCACACAGCTATATATAATCCAACAGCCCAGCCGTATCACATGGCCCTGAAAAATTCAACAAGACAGTCAGGGCCGGCACATTCACCGGGCGTGTTGTTGAGCAGAGACTTCATCAACACTTAAGACTCTGGGGCTTTTTTACTCAACCACAGGAAGACAATGTTTGCCCTCTGCAGTCATTCTCTTGGACTTTGCCGCATACTTATGCGTGTAGAGGAGATTTTTTGAACTGGATTGTTTCATGTTACATTTACGTGCGACCCATTTGGTTTACCAGGGCCGTTTTTAAAGCTGCTCAAACATGATTGTTCAGCGGGGTTTGAAGTGGGGCTGTAGGAGGTACTTTTAGTCAGTATATTATTATCTACAGTCATTTCCAACAGCACTGCATCACAACCACACCAAGCCAACGACACCATTGCATTGATGGGTTTCACAGCGAGAGGTGAAGACGAACCGGCGAGTGCGCGTGGGATCTCCAGTAGAGACTGATGAATGAGGGGGTCGTCTGAGGAGTTCACCAGGAACAGAGGAACGGACACCTGGAGACAGAAGCACTTCGGTTACACAAGCAGTAGTACCAGTAAAAGTATTAGAAGCGGTAGTAGAAGCAGTGCAGGTGACCTCTGTAGCAGTATAATCTGTAAACACAACGTTACCTCCAACTGTAAAGATAGTTTTGTGTGAAGGTCAAATGAACGACATTCAGTGTGATTCATGTATTCATTTTTTAAACGCTGAACTCTTAGATTCTATGCTAAGCTAAGCTAATTGGCCTCAGTTTTTTAACTCCGCAGTTTGCGCAAAGTGTCAAACTATTCCCGTCACCTCTGAGAACACAGGTCACACAGGTCAACGCTGTACTACAGTAGGAATACTACATGTACTCACTTTGTGGATGTAGTTCAAGCAGCTCTCCTTCTCGTAGTACTCTTTCAAGGAACTGTGGCCGTGGAATTTCCTGCAGGGCAAATCATGTGATAACGTATTATTATTACTATGGTCAAAGCTTTATTTAGCATAATAAAAGCCTCATATCCATCCCGCCCCCCCACCTCATGATGCTGTCGTCGATCTGCATCAGAGACGTGGCTGCGTACAATTTGCTTAGTTCAACGTCCCCGATGTTGCTGCTCTTCAGGCCGAGTAAACTGCTCCTGTGGAACAAGACAATAACAAAAGCGTTCAGTATTTAGACAAAGCCGAGCTAAAAAAAACACTTTTGTGTGGTGCCCCCCGACCAACGATGTCAGGTGCTTTGAATGTGTTTCTGCACCTGTGTGACAGGATGAGCTTCTTCATTCGGTCCGCCAGCACAAAGTTGTAGAGCCTCCTGCACTGATCCCACTGGAGGAATGTTTCCTGGGCTCTGCAAACAAACGCATACGTACGTATTTGCACATTAAGGTAGGACAACCAACCAACCGGCTCCTTTGTTATCGTAAAATGTATATTGATTAGTTGTGACACATGTGCACCTCCCCAGTTTCCCAATCTATGCACCCTGATTGATATCTAGGCCGGGCTGTGTTTATCCTTCCGTCCGCCTACCTGAGGGCGCTGTAACCCTGGCAGACGGTGACACAGCAGAGCACTCGGTCCTGGTTGGAGGGGCTCTCGCCCAGGAACTTGCAGGCGATGTTTCCCCCCAGGCTGAAGCCCACCACCACCAGCAGGGTCTGAGGAAAGGCCTGTTTGATGTGGCCCACCATGGCGGCGTACTCCCACGTACAACCTGAGGGAGAGGAGACACTTCAATATCAGCAAGCAGCACTAGCTCTAAACGTCCAAAGTCCCTAAAGAGGCCACACCAGGCACACAATGAAGGGATCTTCCCCGTGATGCCTCAGCCCCTCCTTAATGATCTACTGTGTGGCGTTTCCGTGGTTACCGTAGGTGAACATGCGTGGCGAGGTGAGCTCCACGTTGGGCGGGGCTCCCAGGTGGTTGAGGACGGCGCAGCGGTAACCGTGCCGCTGGCAGTAATCCACGAAGGTACGAATGTAGTTCTGCTCGCTATGGTTACCGATCCCAGGACAGATTACCATGGTAACATCATCTGACACACACACACACACACACATGGACAAACAGGAGGGAACACAAACATACAAAGTGGAGTCATGTGTGGGCGTAGAAGGGGACGGCGTGCGTCCGCTGATTTAATCCCCGGTTGGAGCGCATGGTATTTGCTCTCTGCGGATTCATTAGTGGTCGTCCAGCCTTTGCAGACGTTACCGTATGACATCGGTGCCATCAGAACACGCACGTAAAAATACATGGAAACAAAATGACCGGCGATAGAGTTGAAATTGATGAAATCTTAGAGAAGATCCAAAGCCGGCTGCGTTGGTGCTCCACCGCATAGACCAGCATCTGCCACTCACCTCCTGTGCTGTGATCACCGAGAGCCTCAAAGAGGTCAAAGGTCGCTGTGGCCCCGTCCGGCATCGTGAGGAACTTGCGGAACCCGTGGAGGGTGGGACTGTTGACACGCCCCATCTTGCCATACAGGGCCGTCTGGATGTGTCCACTCTTGCCCCACAGCAAGGGAGGAATGTATCTGAGGAGACACGTGATCACAGCTGTTGACTTCAAGATGTTAATCGCACACGTAAATACCGCTCCGGTTAAAGGAGGCGGCAGACAGATCAACAGGAGGCGGCAGACAGATCAACAGGAGGCGGCAGACAGATCAACAGGAGGCGGCAGACAGATCAACAGGAGCTGGCAGTCCAGGTTGCTCATTTTCAGCATCACTTTAAAATGATATAAGATCTCGTTGCATGTTTCTACAGGAGCCCACAACGGACAAACCAAACGCTGGCTCTAGAGAGAACTGCCCGATCTCTTACTTGCTGACCAAGTACAATGATTTGTCCAAATGTCCAAATAATGAGACAATATCCAAACAATATCACATTGCATGTGATCAAGACCCAAAACAGGTCACCTGACGTTCTAGTTTGAGGTGCATGGCGCGTCCTTGAAGTCGGGACCACGTGACAATCAGAACTCACTCTTTGGTCAGCAACGGGCAGGACTTGAAGAGGTATCGGCTGAGCGCCGTGACCTGGTGGACGACCTCCGGCGGCGCCGTGGTGCTGTTCAGGTTCAGACAGCGGACAATGACGTAGAGGACGGTGGCCACCGCCGCCAGCTTCACGCCGTCGAACATGGCCGGCAGCTCCGGGCCGAAGGTGCCCATGTCCCCGTCTTCGAGGGCGGACATTGGCGCCACAGGAGAGGACCTGCACGCACAGCATGTTAGGGAGGCAGTTAACTTGGACTAGGACTATATGTATATATTCCTCAGCATGTGTGCTTTAGTTGCTCTCTAGCCCTCATGTAAGATATTGAAGTATCTTTAAGAAAGTTTTACTTTGTCATGATGTTCTGGAGTCTGTTTGCAGAGCCTAATCTCTGATGCTGCATACAAAGGCATACAAAAAGGCATGCCCGAATAAGTAGTGGTACCAAATATAATGCATTTGAAGAGTATGGAAAGAGGGCCTGATCCTGTAATTCCGCAAAACCAGCAATAAGAAAATCTGTTTTGTGTAAAGGTCATACTTTCAAATGTTGTGAAAGTACAACATAATGAAATATATCCATCAATTCAACTTCCTAACTGATACTTCAAGTAAGGGTAATTCAAAATTGCACTTAATTAGTGATTTAATTATTTAACTTTATTACTTTCCAACTACTGAGTATTGGGTGCTTAAATTCCAGAGCATTGATATCAAGATTGAGCATTGGAAAGGGATTAATCCATTATTCTGGACAACTACCATGGAGGTTTTAATTAGCTAGTGATGCCCTCTATTGCTTTGAGAAGTTTGCCCCCACCTTGTCTGACTTTGATGGAAATACATTGCTCGGTCCCTCCGTTTTTCTCTGACGATGCTGGCTCAGTGCTGAAAAACAAACAGTTAAAACTTCTTCTTTTTTGTAAAAAAAAAAAAGGTGGTGGTTTCAGGGCCTCTGGGAGGAAATCAAACAAAACAAACAAAAACAAACGAAACCAGAATGTCATTCGAGAATGTGACACATTTAAATTATTAATAACGCATGAACGAGTAAACTGGAACTTCCAATAAAGTTGAATAGTGTAGAATATGGTGGAACAAACGGCCAGCTGTGGCTGTTGAAGAATGCGTTTTGTCCCTCAGGTAGCGTTAAAACTGACCCAGAAGTGCCGAAGTGACGCTGGAAGCTTCAGCAAACACAAACACTACGCGGAACTACACGTAAAGTACGTGAAACCGTTTTTAAAGTACACGCGGAGCATTTCTGGTCTCACCATCGCTTTTTTCGGGTAGTTCGCTCAGGTTCTGGTCGGATCCAACTGGAGTTGAGCTCACCGTCTGTTTACAGCAGAGGAGTGACTGACCAGCAGGAACCTCATGACGCGTTCAATGCCTCTTATAAAGCTCCGAGATTTAAACATGACGGTAGCCAACTTAAAACAAACATATGTTAGAGTGTTCTCTACATGATTTGTGTTTGTTAATTTCCGTTACTATTAATTTATAATACCGTGTGTATTTATTCAGACACCGACTTCTGAGTTCTGGCTTTTTGGGCTTCCGCACTCGTCGATTGTTACACTTGAAATCCGGCAGTAAGTGAAGGCAGCATGACAGGCAGCGGGGTTAGTTCACTTCCTATTACACAAAAAGTTACCGTCTAATTTACAGTAACAACATGCTGTGGTTTAAATGGCAGGTTCATGTATGCCACCATTGTAAGCTGACATTTCACAACGGCACGCAAATGTTACGCACATAACTGGCAGAGATACAATGCCCTGATATAATCTCACAAGCTAATAGTCAATATATTACAGATATTACAGTGGTTTGCGGTGTGTTGAAATTAAATAAACGTATTACCAAATACTCAATCATTACACGGAGGTATATCAGAAATACAGAATATGTGGCGTATACAACTACAATATGGTTCTGCTTATTTATAACCGGACATAAAACAAAATGGGACTGAGAGCCGTAATTAATGTCACTTCAGTTCCAAGCGGATGAGACACTCTTTCAATAAGAGACTGAACCACTAGAGGGCGCCGTCCACTAATGGGACACGCTTTTGAAATCGTTCTTTTAGTGTGGGATCATTCTGAAAGGTATTATAGGTTGTATTATAACGTTTTTTAAAATAATATTGTGACATTGTATTTAAGAAAAAATAGGAAATTGTAAGTAATAACCTTTACAAACCCATTACGCATCAAAATTTAAACCACAATTTGATTAATTCAATTATTTTGAGAATGTGTTTGGAATCACACGCATGGTGGCGTATGTGAGTGGTTTGTGTTGCTGTAGGTTTGTAAAAGTGCATATTTTACTCTAATATTTCTATATTTTCATTACATGTCATTTAACAAATAAAACCATTTGTATTTCAAATGAATGAAGCCACAGCAACTCAATGTTTATTTTAGGTAATATTGACGCTTTTTCATATTTAAACACACTAAATGAAAAACCTAAAGAAAATGTATATTTTATTGTGTTTTTATCATTGAATCTATCCAGTATAACCTTCACTATAAAGTATAACATGTCCACAATAAACCAAGGAGCCCACACTTTGGTTCATGTTGTCTGGACTCTGGAAACACAGAACAGCTGCACACAGCTGTGTGAACAGTCAACGTCAGAAACCGAGGGCTCAGCTCAACTGTGACTTTGGTTTTTCCTCCAAAGAAGTAACGTCACAGGGACAAAAACTCCCTCCGTGGATTTTCTCTGTGATATTGTCTATAAATGTGAATCTTCTATGTGCTTCCAGATGTGCAAAGCAGAAGTGAAAGAGGACTTGATCTTGTTTCTGTTCAGGAGACAGAAGTGAAAATTCATACATAGATTTATGAATTACCCAACCCTTTCCTCGAGCACCATTCCCCTCCAGAGAAAGCAGGCTGTGTGAAAAATGATGTACAGGATTATGCCGCGCTCCACATGGAGGATTAGGATCAAACAGGCTTCTGTCACATCGAAGCTGCGTCTGCCATCATGAACCTCGTCCTCTGGCTCGGTCATGAGGTGAGGCTTTGTCTGATAGAAGGGGAACATCAGAGGACGCTGCCAATGTGCAGTCTCACCGCGGCCCACAGAGCACATGACTGTTCTTATGGTTCCATGACCGAAGCAATTCTCTGCCTGTTTTAGAGACTATGCTGACATTCTTTTTTTTCTTTTTTGAGGGGAAGAAAAAGAAACCTAAGAGGGGTTTAAATATATTTGCAGGGGAGCACTTCAACGAGATGGAAGCTTTGGCATTTTTAGCTGATGCTGGATGGGAAAACTCTCTTATAGCTGCATTTCAAGATCAACTGGCAACGCTTAATAAATCATTATCATACTGAAATTGCTCAAAAATGACAGCAACTTGACCCTGCTTTGCCTTTCTGGTAATCCAGTTTGATTTGCTGACGACTTAATTTTCCATGTCATGCAAATTGGAATAAACCTGCTTCAAAAAGTATTTTAAGAATTGGACTAAAAGTTCAACAAGAGGAGCTTATTCATTTCAAGCTCTAAATTACTAATTTTCCTTAAATAATTATATGCACAAACATTCCCTAGCATATCCTTATTTTCCCTTGATGGAAAATACCTGAAAGAACGTTCCACATATACATTCAGGGGCTTTTAAAGGACCTAAGCAAGAAGACACGTTTCCCAGATGTCCCCCAAAGAGGCATGTGCACTTTCACTTCCTTCCATTTATATTCCTCATCTCATCAAGTAAGTTGAGGTCGCAGAGTCCTCCATTATATTCACTTGCAAATGTCATGAGACCACTTTAAGCTGCTTTATGATGTGTTACTAGGGTACAGAATGGTGTATTTTACACCGTCGTGTTCGCGTGAGTATATAATGAAATGGGAAGATGAGATGGAGAAAAGACACTTCAACAAATAGGAATTGGACAGGTGTTATAACCTCTGAAGTTGACATTCACGTGACTGTTGTTATATTTAGCAGTCCGCTCTCAGAATGAGGCCAAAGACAGAAGGTCTTGGACGTCTCTTTCAAAAGTCACACCCATTAAAAACGATTTCTCGCCTCACGCCCACGCGCACAAAGACTATAACATCTACTGTGACCCACGGCTGGATGTCGGCTCCAGAAACGCCCACAGAAGAACCTTTTTTTGGCTTTACACAATGAAACACTGGCGTTAATCTGCATTTCAGAGGAGGATTTCATGCCTGGCGCCATCATGGGAATTTTCTCAGCGCTATAAGAGAAGACACAAAGAACACAGCAACACGTTATAGATGAGAGACGTTGATCTAACGGGTCTTGTTGGTTTGATTTTATTTAATTTGAGATTAAACACATGCAAAGTCAGTCTTAATGAGATTCTGAACATAAAAATGCACATATTTTAATGTGTGGACTTTCTATTCCATAGCAACAAACTAAATCAGTTGTATATGTGTGACCATGTCATAAGAAGAGAGAGAGTCGCCGATAGTTAATAATCCTGCAACCCTCATACTTCTCAGGTATTTACCTTTTATAAGAGTCCTGTACTGTAAACGTTACACAAGTTAAATTGTTATTGTTTTATGACCTTGTCATGTTTTGTATGGCAAATCTCACTATCGGGTCCTTAGTTTTGCCATTGCTTATTGTTTTGGAACCTTATTGTTATTGTTAGTTGAAATGAAATAGTTAAGTTAAATGGCTCGATTAAGAACCAAGTACTTTATGTTTTACATGTCAGTAGTGGTTTCTTGTTGACATTTTCAGAGAACATTGGGCCTGCACACGCGAAAGCGACGCCATGGAAACATTAAATTAAGTCCCAGATTAAATGTTTAAATGTGATTAAACGCCCTCAAGTTGTCCTCGCTGTTTTTATATCAGAGATCCTAAGGAAGATATTCAATGACATGCAGCACATAGGCCAAGAACGCTCTCTTTGTTTCCAGGGTGATTTACTACCCTCCGTGCGTGTGCGCGTGTGTGCGTTGTTGTCACAAACAGCGGGAGCTGTTTGGGGCGGAGTTACACTTTAAAAAGCGGACGGTGATTGGCCGAGAGCCCGGGCGCACGTGCTCCTGCTCCACTGAGTGTCTTTGAGCAGCACAACGAGCGCGAGCCACACACGGGAGCGACAGAGTAACGAGCCTGACCAGCCACCGCTAACTAACGCTAACTAACGCTAACTAACGAACAACAAGACAAGCGTTCACTGACAACAACTGGCAGCCATGAAGGAGCAGACTCGTCTTGTCCTCTGGCTGCAACTTTTCTCAGCTTGTCTGGTGTTCGGGGTGAACGGTAAGTTGCTTCTTTGGTGTTTGTTTACAGTTCAAAACTAACTGCATTTGCGTTGCACGTTACGTTAAAGTTGTAGTAGTAATTGTAGTCTTTAATCCGAGTGCTTTGTCCTTTTAGAAAACAAACTCCGCGGGAACGTAGTCGTTCGTTTGCTGTGTGTCTGTCCGCTCGGCGCGTGTCCGGTGGTGTCCCGGTCATTTCACCCCCGGTGTAACGGAGAAAGTGGGCACTGTAGCTGTTTAGGTTCAGGTGCGGCAATGAGAGCGCTTGTTTCACTCTGAAACTGCAACATTAGACGGTTGAATATCGAGAGATGACTTAATTCGCAAAGTACATCAAAACAAATATACGTTATATCAATTTGCAATCTATAATACAGGTTTTTGTAATGCGAGGCCAGACATTATTTTTGTGTCTGAATGTATGGTTAAAGAAATAAAACCTCAGGGCTTCTATTTTTTAAACCGTGTGCCCCCCATTTTTCAAAGAGCACGAGCCATATAGGCTGGCTATTCTACTCGTCCAGTGTCACGCTCATGCCACCGGCAGATGGCTTTGTTTGCATTTCCATGCATCAAACACATTTAGGCCAATGTACAAAGGGTAGAAATGGGCTCATTCTCCCGCCGCCATTTCTGCTCGCAGACCAGGGCTAGCATTTCAGTGTTATCCATATTGTAATGCTGAAGTATTTTCTAAATGTGGAAGTTCTCCTCCTTTTTTTTTTTTTTTAGTTGCACATTGACAAAGAGCAGATTTTATGGCTTGGATTTGTGTTGTGTGAATGACAGATTGCAACTTTCTTATAGACTTTGGACTTTTAGAGTTGAGTCGTCAGTAAACATTGTATGCCTTGTGGATTAATGCTTGCAACCAGGTGCGAGGTGATCTTTTTATTCCTTAAGATATTCACTGCACGAAAGTGTAGAAAATAGTTTAATAACGCACATGGTTGACCATATTATATTAGATGTGATCTTTATAATTTGTTCTATTCCTTTTTAAAATTTCGGACCCCTTTCAGCACCAACAAGCACGGAGTATAGACTTCCTGGAGTCCACACACAAAAACAAGCAACAATTTAAGAGCGCAAAAATCAATAAACACAAACATCAGACAATCAATTAATTGAATAAACATAGCCATTGTTAAATATTATAGTTATAGTTGACAGGATGGTACGTATTCAATTTCATAGTAGTAACACATGTTTTCCAGTGCTTGTGTTTAATCCACTATGTTGACAAACATGTGACTTCAATCCATTTTTAGAAGAAGATTAACACGGGTATTTCACTTTAAACCAAGTTACAGAATTAAATAACAAAAGCTGTTCTTCTTCACTTTGATTAGGACTGTAATTTACTTCTTCTTCCTGTAGATATAACATAGTTACACTATTACAGTTATATAATAAGACTTGCGTGAGAGGCTGCTGTGCATCACTTCTATAGACCTGTTTAATCCACTTTCTGTTTCCCGTCTTTATTGTTTGAAATTGAAAGTGAAACGCTATGAGGACGAGTGCACAGATCCCAACATGTTTGCTCCTGGAGCCCCGGGGTCGGTACAGTGGAGGAGACGAGGTGTGGTTTCTGTGAACCTACTGAGCGCTGAGTCACTTTTCCCGATGCAGTGGCCAGCATCCGCGTGCCAGCGAACTTCCATCTGTGTTTTACCTGATTTGACTCAATTCAGCAGGTAACTCCTCTATTTGTAGCTGAGGAGTGCAAAGTGGGAAATGGTGTTCCGAGACGAGGCTGAGGCAGTCTTTTCTCACAACAACACCACTTAGGGCAACCGAGTGAGCAAGGCTAAATATAGCCGGACGCTGGGCCAATGGCATGCAATGAATGTGTGTATGTGTGGGTTTTGTAGCCAGGTTGAAATTGATGCACGTTTATTTGTGGTTGTTGGGTAAGAGATGGCAGGCATTTATTGGTCCAAAATAAACAGGAATTTAATTTCCCGTGACGGATGTTCACCTCTCCAATATTTAGAGTCACGTGTTAGATGAATTATACCTTTTAAGGTATAAGTTGCTCTTGCCTTTCCCTTTTCTTCTTCTTCTGAGCAATCAGGCTTCCCTCGTTACTGAACCGGTGCTGTGGCTCACTCCACTTTACAGAATTGATTACTATGGATCTTACTGCAGTTTAAGAGAGTCTTAGATGTGAGGATTTGATGTGTTGTGTTTTGTATGACACACAGATTGTTGGATGCAGCAAGGTATTTGGAAAAGGGATGTTGTACAATTATAATTAGACTTTTATTATTTCATTGAAGAAAATAAAGTGATGAATTTATAATGAAAATAATGTGAGTGTCCGCCACAGCCCTTAAGTTCTTGTGCCAGTAAATTTTGGAGGTTTTTTTTGTTCCATCTGATTATTAAGACTTCCGCTCAAGCCTCTTTAACTTCATCATTACTCTTCGCACTGAATCCCCCAGGACACGACCTTTGACGTGGCAATTTCTCCTCCATTAGAATTTTGAATGGCTTCCTTAATCAATGTTTCATTGCAGTATGGAGTGCCTTCTAATTTGGGACCCTTTATTAGTGTCCGTCAGCCCAATTTCCAATCTGCTGTGTTTAATATTTCATATGAGCCAAGGAAAGAATCGGATCTGCGAGAGCCAGAAATGTTTACATAACATCTTTTTTTTTTTCCGCTCTGAGGCACTAACCGGATGTGTTCACACGCACAACATTCAGTTTAGACAGTTGTTGTTGTTACTCCATTTATTTCAGGTACAGTGGCAAGAGAAAAGCTTGTTGTTTGGTTGATCTTGAGCGGCTGGCTGCTGTTTTTTTGTGTTGTTTTTTGTTGTTGTTTTTTGAAGCCGCAACAGATGGCTGTGTTGCTCTGGAGGAGCAGTTGCAGATAACGGAAAGCTCACTTGCAGCTGGAGTTGTGCTAATCTTAATGTTGATAACAAAGACTATTCAGGGAGTCTGGTAGGCCTCCTAATGATCCCCTTCCTGCATTACGTGTTCGGGTTCCCCTCTCAATGTTCGTAGCACTCAGTAGTGATCCGCCTTCAGACCAAAATGAGCACTGTTGAGTTGTGAGTCTTATTATGTCCCAGCAAATCCATAACAGTTTTTTGTGCGTGTGCGTGTGTGTGCGTGTAAAGCAGGCTTTTCTCCTTTTTCTTCCTGGAACACAGAGTTCCCACACTTGCCTGCCGTTCTCTACGCTGCAGCGTGAGAGCACAGAGGGCAGAATGTTTACCGTTCTCAGGCCTTAAGACTCACAAGATAGGAGCCCTGACGTCTCTGCACACACGTGTTCATTTATCAGCTGTGCCGTGCACAGCCACCCATGAGGGAGTAGAAATCCTTCAAGGCAAACAAGGAAACTGTCTGAGCGTGTTATCCTGTTTTGTATACTGCTTATTTATTCCACGTCATGTTTGATAAGAGCAATTCAGATGAAGAGGTTTCCGCCCATGGCCGTGCACCGAGTGATCCCCAGCTAAATAATCTGGGACCCAAGAAGAGCCTTTGCTCTTGCATCATACTGATGGACGCTGGTCTCCTCTCGTATGTCAAGTTATATTTTTTTGTCCAAAACCAGCCGCTGCTCCTCTAATACAGGCAGCAGTAACGGTCCTCAAAGAGTCCACCCCACCCTTATGTCCTAAGACGACTCTCACGTCTTCATCCACATTCATCTGGTCTCTCCTGCTAGCCAATGGACCCCTGAAGAAAACCACTGCGTCCTCCCTTCTGAGGCTCACGGTTTTACAGGATCCACAAGCACCATGTTTTTGACGCTGCTCATTAGGCACTCATCCATTTTGCGAGTGTGGCTCTAACTTGACTTTTTATTTTGCCTGGTATTTGGGCTGAGGTCTCGTGGGAAAGTCAGACGTTGACTCATAAGGAGAAAAGCACAATGCCCTGTGGAAACGGCCCGTCCTGCCAAACACAACTCCACATACTTTTGTAATCTGTCACTGTGGTGAGGACAAAGTGGGGCACCATGTTGGGTACTTTAAGAGCTGCTTTAGTTTTGATGTGAGTTGAAATGATTTTACTGCATTGTTAAATGCTGCAAATGGATGTCTGTGGCTTCATCCACAGATGGTGCTTCCTTTAGTTCTCTTAGCCCTTTTATATATCCGTGTTCTCACATAATATAAAACAACATCATGAAAAGAACTGATGTATTGCTTTTGAAATTCATCTTTTTATGTATATGGAACAATGCCCTTGTTTGATAAAATATTGATGACATTAAAATCCTGAGGACATTTATTAAATGCTTGCAAGCATGGAACAGAGTTGAAACACATTCATCAAGGCTACTCAAAGCTTCGAAGAAGGCATATTGCTACAAAAAAACATGGCTTCAGTTTACCAATCAACATGCTAGGTAAGGACAAAGACGTTAAACAACTGAATGTTTACGTTTCTGGCAGACAGAGTCCCCTCCACATCGAAGAGAGAGATGCTATTGTCACACATGATTGAAGGAGATGGAAGAGAACACTTTGTTTACACTTACACAGCAATAAAACCTTCCTTTGGGAAAATATCCAGATCCTGCTTCACAAATCATCCTGAACATCTGTTTATCCCAAAACGCTTCGTGTCAGTTCAAAAGGTCATAAACTCTGACCACTAAGACAGGACATTATTTGAATTTCCCCAACACAAGCTGAGGTTCTGTTTCCATTGTAGTTCTTGTAATATAGAGGCACCGCTTCAGCGACAACCCTCTTCGGCCAAACGCTGATATACCAAATTAATAAAAATATTTCTCACTTATCTAGTGTTCTCTCGCCATTTGTCAAGGTTAGATGTACAGCCCCGGGATTTCTGTGGGCTCCAAAACACAATGTAGGTGTGATTACAGCATTAAAAAGTGGCGTTTTAAAGGCTCAACAGCAACATTTCTGTTTCTCTATACAGTTTTCACGTGACAATTCCTTGAGTAAAAAGCAGTGGAAATGAAAGCTGAGAGACTGATAGTGGACATAATGTTACATTTAGAAAAAAAGGGATTTTCCTAATTCAGTGAGACCAGAAACAAAATCCCAGTGCACATAAAACCAACACAGATCACTCGAGCTGGATAAGGGAAATGTGTTTTTTCACATGTCATTTTATGGACGTGGTTTTTGTAGACACTGGGTTTTTTTCAAGGACACTTTTGTCTGGTTTGGCAACTGTCTGCTGGCTGACCACCTTGACTAATGTGTCACTAATTTAATTTCCTCAATAAATCTCCCGGCTTAAGGACCTTCACACCACCAGCAACGATTAAAGAGACTTCTAAATTAAGTGGTGCATCTCCCTTATTTCCTACTGGTTCATTTTATTTACCTCCATCATTCAAATTGTTCCACGGAAATATTGTGGGAAGGTAATTTATTGAACATTGGCATTACGCCGCGCCGGGAGGGTTTCCTGAAGGGAGCCGCCTGCGTAGGAAGGGACGCTGCATTCCATCCCAAACATTGGATAAGGATGCGTCGGTGGTGAAGGCCGGGACACTGGATACAGCACAGATAACACTGGACGTCCATGGGGAGTTCAGTCCAAACCGGATGTGGTTATTCTCCCTCGTGCGGTGAACATCTGCCCTTCACCTCCTTGATTGCTAATGAATAATAAACGCAGAGGGTCCACATTAAGTCCAACCTACAAACTACTGTATGTTCAGTCCCCCCCCACCATCATCATAAGGGGCCAGTTCATTTTGTTCAATTTTATTTTCTATACAGCGGGAGATCACAAACTTTAAACAAAAGTAGTTTAAAGTTACCTCTACTGTATAACAGGTCTATACTAAATAGCCTCATGTTATTTATCCTATTCATCCCCCTCCCTGACGCCTTAAATCCAGGGCAAACACTGATGTTCATCTCGTTTATTTTCCTATGAAGGCCAGCTAGTTACAGACTTTGAATATGCTTCCTAGAGAGCTGTCATGCTGTGTTGTGAGTGTTTTGAAAAATGGTAAAAGTTTTGTGTTTGTGTGGTTCAAAGTTGGAGAGAACAGAGCGAGGCACAGGAAGTCTCCTCAAAATGCCCTATTCATCCCGTGGGCCTTGTGGTGTCTGTGAATTATACCCTCAGCGGGACTAAACGGCACTTTTCTTTTCCTGTAGATGTCTAAAAAAATATTTATCGACTCATGAGTCCACTTAGCTTGAGGTGAGAAGGTGTACCCTGTCAGAGCACACACACAAAAGAACTGGGTCAGAGGTCCTTTTAGCCTTTTTAGCCTTAAACCACCAATTTCACACTTGGGGTCCAACCTCAATCTCCTTAACAATTATCCAAATGAAAAGTGTTTACTTCCTGTCTTCACGGGTGTTAAAAGGCGCCCAATTATTCACTTCCTCCCTATTTTAGTTTCAAAAAGGGCGGTAATTGAAACCTTCGATTCCTAAACGCCGTCTATATTAAGAAAACTGGGCGGTCGGTGGCTGAGTTGGTAGAGGCTTGATGTTTGATCCCCCGTCTTCTACTGTCACTGGTGTCAAATTTCATCTATAATAAATTAATTTCTCACTCGCTCTTCGTCTGGATTCCTCCCCGTCCGCTGGGAGCTGACTCGTGCTCCCTCGTGGCCACAGAGCAGTCGTATTGTCGGGTTCATCCAGTGTCTGTGTTGTGTTTACGGCGTAGCGATGGCTTACTCAGCTGTTCAGACCGTCACATCAAACCTGCAGCCAGCGCTTTACTCCCCATTCAGCAGCGCAGCACGAGAGCGCGGCGGGCACTTTTCACTCTTTATTCAAAGCCTAAAATATATTCTAAGTGGTTTTACTGAGGACAACATATGGGCCTGAGTTTACTTAGTTTTTTGCTTTTATTTTTGTTACAAGTCACTATGATCGTTACTCGCCTATCAAACATCTCATGAGTCATAAGTCTTTTCGCCACATGAGTCATAAGTCTTTTCGCCAAAGACAAACACCCAGCATGTGTCTTTGATTGCAATTATGGGTTGGGACCCAATAATAATACATTATGTGTTCTTGAGACTAGATTAATGTCTCTTTCTAACTTGACAAAATCCTGCTGCAGGCGATTACTGCAAGGTGAATGTCTGCATTAATGGGGGAACCTGTGTGACGGGGGCCGGAACTCCCTACATCTGTATCTGCCCCGACGGCTTCACTGGAGACATCTGCAACGAGACGGAGACCGGTAGGCCGATCTTCTGAGGTCCAAATGAGTGTTTAATAATGACCTATTGGTGATCTGGTTTAAGCTAAAATGGGAGCGAGCAGTTTCCCCCACCATTCTATCAGGGGCCGATTCCTGCATACGACCCCGCGTAAACTTCTCTTTCTCCTCGTCCAAAAGGGCCGTGCAACCCCAACCCGTGCAGGAACGATGCCATCTGCGAGCTGACGGGCCAGACCCGCCGAGGTGACGTCTTCAGCGAGTACGTCTGCAAGTGCCAGTCGGGCTTCGACGGAGTCCACTGCCAGAACAGTGAGTCTCTTCTCCATCCTCATCACATCTTCTGCCTTTCCTGCATAGTTAAATTTGCACATGATCATCAATGAAAGTCTCTTGTTTTGGCCATTTAAAACCTTTTCATTTTGTCAAACCATTTTCCAGATCATTACGGCACTCTTGTAAGTGTAATTATTGGGTTCTGACTATAAACGAACACGACGAAGCAGCTCATAACTTTTTTTTTATTATCATCAAATCATCCATTGGGGTCATTTATTAATCTTGTCATTAAGACAGTCTTGGTCGTTTTATGAAAACTACTCGCTCCAACTTTAGCAGAAAACCAAATCTCTGTGTTGCTGATACGCTAGCCACACTCTTTCACACCGCATGTGTGCACATTCCTATGCAAATAATTGGCTAAGTCTGATGAGGTCTCTGCTAATCTGTCCAACCTGACCCATTAACACGGAGACGGCTGTCGTGAGAGACTGGCCACTGGACAGCTGTGCTCCTTATGTGAGCTCCGTTCACACGTCACTCCGAACAGGTCGGTTCATTCGCGAGGGAACATGTGCTGCGCTGCTCCAACTGCCTCCAGCCCCACACACAGAGACAGATGGCTCCTGTTTGCATGAGAAGGCGGAAGAATAACAGTGGCCAAGTGTGCACCAAGATGTAACTTGGCGGGAATAGAGTGAGACATTTGGGAAAGGCCAGGGTGCCTTTTGTTTTGTTTGATCATGTATGCCTTTTTCATCCTAGGTGTCCAAAGGGCCGATTTAAGTTCCAGACCAGGTAACTGTAGAAGTTGTAAAGATTTGCATGTAATTGTGTTATTTTTTTTCTCCCCCCTCTGGTCCATTTTCCTTCTTGGATCCAGGTGCTTTCTGTTCTCTTGGCTGCATGTGGACACACACACACACACACACACACAGAAACTACATAGCTCAACACAATCTCTCCTTGTTTGAGTCAAGGCCAGTAGCAAAACCAGCAGTGAGATTGTTAGTTTTAGATATAGTGTCCTTTTATCGTTCACCCAGACACAAAAATGATTCTCTCTTAACTCCCTCATCAGTGACTTAATGCATTCTGAACCTGTTAATTTGTCTCTACATAAGTCTATTTTGATCCAGAATTCTCCAGCCGATATTTACGCTCCAATGTTTGAGTTTTTGTTTCACCCCCGAGAACTGCAAATCACAGCTCATCAAAGTCCATAGAGTCCTCTGGCAGGGGCAGTGGGCTTGGCTGCCAGAATAAGAGCCCTCTGCAGAGAACGCATTTACACTAATTAGATAGTGCCTCAGGGATGATGATGAGGGGAATTTATTAGACCATGTTTGTTTATAAGAACCCCACCAAGGGCCAATGGGTCAGGGAGGTGCCCCTCCATTCACAACTACTGATGACTGTGTTGTGACACTTTAAGTGCTCCTTAATTTGTGCGTGTGGGGGAGAGGAATGAGGCCCGTGGCAGCCAGCGGCTCTGGTTTGTGGAGACGTAGAAGTGCAGTCAGTGTGGTGAAGTCGGGAAGGCGTCGTAAAATGTAACTCGCGTCCTCACACACTCTTCATACACGTAAAGGCACATTGAGGCTGACTTATTGGCGTTGATTTAAAAAGTTCTGAAATGTCACTGCAATGTTGTCACTGTAGAGATGGAGAAGAAAACGTTCTCACACAAACTCTAAATAGAGAAACGCAGGAGGATGGACCATCACTGCTGTTAATGGAGAACTATTAATATATAGTTCAAAAGTATTTCTCTGTAGAATAGATTTCTTATTAAAGGGCTAAAAGGGAGAAACTGATCAAGGGAGCAAAAAAAACACCCAATAGATTAGTCATGTGTGCGCCGCACAACCCACGCTAACCACACAGCCCATGATCTCATATACAGACGGTTTAGCATACACATACGTGGGTGATTCACCCCCCCCCCCCCATCGTGCCAGTCCAGCCAACAGAAAGTGGCGGTCACGCCGAGCGCCCGGCAACGTCAGCGCTGCTGCTGTTGCCGGGCAGAGAAGTGCACGTGGAGGCGGAACAGGGAATTAAGTCTGCCCTCCTGACAATGTCACACTCACTACTCAGGTCTGACTGCAGCACTTCTGACTGCCCTGTCAGATCGGCCTAAAAGCCTTTATGGGTCGCTGAGATGGTGTGTGTCTGTCGTTGTGTGTGTGTGTGTGTGTGTGTGTGTGTGTGTGTGTGTGTGTGTGTGCGCCTGTCTGTGTGTTGGGCAGAAAGACGGAGAGTGAGAGCGATGTCATAACAGCAAGCCAAAGCAGATGGATGGAAACAGAGAGGGAAAGAGGAGTTTTTTTTCTTAGTAACAGCCTCTAAATCCCAGATTTTCATAATGGATTAAAGCAGTTATTTGGTCTCTGGAAGTTAGCCATGGGTGTGTGTTGGTGTTTGCTCCACTTTTACTTATGTGTCTGTGTGAGATAATCTTACCGTAAAAAGTAGAAGATGTATCGTTAACTCATTATTTGAAAATGTGGTCAATCAGCATTCTGGTATTCACTCATAGAGTTCTGTATATTCCTGTCTGACTCCTCTCCTGAAGACCACAAGCTTAAACGCAGCTTTAAAGGATGTGCTCTGTGAATGTACTTGACCACATCAGATTCTCATCTCCGTGCTGATCCCTCCAGCAGAGAGGGACTCTGGCAGGGATCAGTTCAAAGCTATTTTGGGTGCCACTGGTGTGCAACAAATTACACATCTGGAGACCTTTTGGGCCCCTTTAAATGCATTTAATCATGCCGTTGTGGTTTTATCTGGTGGCCATGGTGCTTTGGTAGCTTGGCAACGGCAACAGTGGTTATTTCAAAATATGCCATTTTCTTTTTCATGTTGTCATTGGTTAGGAAAAAAAATTGTACATTGGTCCCATTGTAAATTGTATGGCAAACAGGTGAAAGGTTGATGTTCATTTCAACACCCAAATCTCACCTCGTCAGTAGTGAAATTATTTGGGGAAAACCTGGAGAGAAAAACAACGCTACGTCTTGTGGAATATTTGGGTCTTTCATACACATTTTCCAATATCCCATTAAATAGGAATTCAGTCACATATTTGGGATGCGTAGTGCATTCTCCATTGCATTTGGATAAGAACTGATTTTTTTTACTGCTTATAATGTGATAACGGGTTGTTTTTATTAGTATATGATGTGGTAAATACAAGTGGCAAGTAACTATAATCCATTTTATTTCAGATATTTCCACAGAAGTCAAGGGTAACTACAACTATGTAAAGACAGGAAACGCTGTCAGCTCTCTTGCCAAAGTTTGTTTCAAGACATCAAGCTATAAAATAAGCTCTTTGATCATTTTATTGTTTTTATGGGATTTATTATACGAGCCGGGAGGGTCATGACTGGACCCTCGCTGTCCAGAGTTTGTGATGAGTGACTTTGACATTGATCCCTCGTACTGTGTGAAAATGATGGTTTGGACACGGAGCTATTTGTGGAGTGAGCATGTGGGTACAGAGATGCTGCCGTGTGTGTGTGTGTGTGTGCGTGCGCGCGCGCACACGCGCGCTTTATTTGGATAAAAACACAACATTGGTGCGTCGGGGTTGTTTGCGCGTGCTTTCGTTCCATGATGATGGCCGCTGAGGATTCTATCTTCAGTCTGGTTGACGTCGTTCTTTTGGTGGGAATTCATCTACACAAGCAGCCAAATCTGTGCCTTGTTCCTAATGCCGATGTGGTCAATACAAAGCGTCCAAAGCTGCTTTAGTCACACTGACTGTTCTGGTGGGCGAGTGATAAAAAATACTCCATTCGTCTTCCTCCTCTCTGGCTCGTCTGACACTTTGAGCTGGACAGATGGCGTTGGCGAGGGCGCCATCAAGGGGCAACGCGAAGAGTTACAAGAAAATGAAACATGCACTTACATTGCCCTGACATGGCACTTTACTCTTCTTAAAGCAGCGCTTATGTACATTAATCACTCCACATCACATGATCTCCTGGTGCGGCTGATTGAAAATAAACACCCCCCCCTACCCCCACCACAAAGCCTCTTCTTTACTACAGCTCCAGTCCTGTTGGCATGGCTTCAACTAACCTCAGTGCGGGGCAGACGGAGAAATGCCATGTGATCTTTACTCACGCTTCTAACTAATGGTGGTCTGCTTTCAGACTGGCTGCTGACTCTGGACCAGCAAACTGTTTGTTTTGTGTTCAGGACTTCAGGCTGACGCTGTGATTTATCTCTCCGTAGATGTCAACGACTGCGACAGCCAGCCCTGTGGGAACGGCGGCACCTGCAGGGACCTGGAGGGAGATTTCAAATGCAACTGCCCGTCCCCTTATGTGGGCAAACGTTGCCAGCTACGTGAGTGTCACTTGTGGTGCTCGTAGATAGACGGATGGACGAGTCATGTGACTAATTACTGCCATCTTAATCCCCCACGTTGCTTTGGTCTAAAAAATAAAAACTTATTTCATTGTAGTCAGTATAAAAATAATTTAGTGTTTCCCCTACAAATGTTGGGGGAACACTAAAGGAATTGGACTGAAAGAAACACGTGAATGATGACAGGACTGGTAATGCGGCCACACTGCTGCATTTCAGAAGGATCAAAGGACCCCATGTACCAAATGAGAAACCAATACTATCAATACTAAATTGAGCTAATTAAGAGAAAAGATTCTCATTGCACACTCTTTCTTCTATGTTGTCTAAATTCACATGCAGTAGCATAAAGCACCTTTTATTTAATCAGTTTTTTTTTAAAGGTTACTGCGTGTCTAATTAGCATTAGGGCCACAGTGGGAGACCGAACACTTATTTCCTCGTTTCCTCCACAGGCTGTATTTCGCTGCTCGGCATGGAGGGAGGGGGCATCGCCGAGTCCCAGATCTCGGCGTCATCGGTCCGTTACAGCATGCTGGGCCTGCAGCGCTGGGGACCCGAGCTGGGCCGCCTTCACAACAAGGGGCTGGTTAACGCCTGGAGCGCCGCTGCCCACGACAAGAACCCATGGATGGAGGTGACTCATGGAGTGATAGACATTTAGACAGATGTCTTACATGTATTGATTGTGACGGTTTGGATGAATACTCAATCTAGACCCAGTTGTTTTTCAGTTACTCAATACCCATTAAGGACTCATTAGTGGGTAACGCGATGCCTGACTCTGAATTAAACACATGAAGAAGCTTTTGCTCAGCATGTGTGTTCTTTTTTCAATATTTGTGATCCCTCTTCTCCTGTAATGGAAGCACTGACCAACTCAAATGCGCTCTCTCTCTCTCTCTCTCGTTGATTACAGATCAACATGCTAAGAAAGATGCGCTTTACCGGCATCGTGATGCAGGGCGCCAGTCGTATTGGAACAGCTGAGTTCATTAGGTCCTTCAAGGTGGCCTACAGCCTGGACGGCAGGACGTACACCATGTATAGAACCAACGGACAGCGGCGGGACAATGTGAGCAGGAGCATCGACACTACACATGATGTGCAAGTAAAGATGCATCAACCTCAATACACGTAATGCTAATAAGTCTACCACTAGACGGAACTGTGACTAATGGTGCGTTTCCACCGAGCGGGATGGTACGGTACGGGTCGGGTCTGTTAACCATGATTTGGCGAGCGTTTCCACCGCCAACGGTACCCTTACTTGATAGGCGTGGTGTATTCCAGAAAGTAGTGATAACGTCACTTGATAGGCGTGGTATATGACGGAAAGTAGATTCACGTCATTTGATCGCGCGAAAACTGAAAGCTAACCGCAAACAACAATGGAGGACATACAGCCGATCCTGTTCTTGCTTCTCGATATGTGGCTGTTTGTCACAAGGAGACGACAATCTTTGTTTCAGCAAAGGCTACATGCTGCAAGGAAAAACACAGCGGAAAAATATGTGTGTTGTCTTTCCCCTTGCGGCAAATGACGACACTCCTTCAACCAATCAACGTTCTGCAGTGAGTCTAGCTCCACCCTTTAGTACCAAACAACTGTGCCAGGTACCCCAACGGAAGGGTACCCAAAAAGTGGTACGGTACGGTTCGGATTTTTGGTACTATTCTCAACTTTTGGCAGTGGAGACACAAATAAAAGGGTACCGACCCGTACTGTACCACCCGGTGGAAACGCGCCATACATTTGACGGGACCCTTTTTCCAATGTGAGTTCTGAAAAGACAGAAGTTACTTTGTAAAAGGAGGTTTAGTTTGCTTAAGAATCCAAAGCAACAAAGAATAAGTTGACATATGAATGATGAGCATCACTTGGTCACAAAACTAATTAGCCGCATGTGACACATTGAGCTAACTCCTCCTTTCTCAGCAGGTGTTTGTTGGAAACGTGGACAACGACAGCACCAAGACGAACCTGTTCGATCCCCCAATCATTGCCCAGTACATCCGCATCATCCCTGTGGTGTGTCGCAAAGCTTGCACCATGCGCATGGAGCTGGTGGGGTGTGAGCTCAACGGTAAACACAAAACCCCCACAAAAAAACATGCATTAAACACGCAACGCTCGGACATCCGCACACACTTGGTGTTCAGTATAATGATGTTCTTTCTATAGACAGGTTGGAAACTTTGTTATCCAACAGTCGTCTTTTCTTTAACTGGCATTTATTTCTCCTGCCTGTGACATGAAGATCGGCGGCAGCACACTTCAATGCAAGTTACTCATTACCATTGTGTAGAAGACTGTTTGTTCCCTTAAGATCATCGGCCTGTATTTCAAACTCGAGTCATTCCAGTGAACCAACTCAAGTGTAAAATAATATTCTGAACTGAGAGGATGTTGCATAAACAGCGACATGATGTTTTGTGTGCATCTTTGACCCTCTGTTCATCCTGCCTGCTCTGCTGCTTCTCGTGCACACATGCTCATTAACAAGTCTGTTACAGCCTTCAAAGATTCCATGTGAGATTATAGTGAAAATATGTAAAAATTGGGAGCTCAGGTATGCTGGAGAATGCACTATACTTCTGCACATCTGGCCTCATGTTCACCAGTATGAGTCTGTCCACTGCCTCCTCCTCATCTCTGTTTGTGGCTGCTTCACATTAATGGCTGGTCTGAGCCGCTTCCTGTCCATCATTCTTTCTTTCCCTCTTTTTTCCGTCTCTTCCTTTTTGTCTCTCGCCCCGCTCTGACCTCCACAGTGTATTCCAACACTTCAGGTTGCTCAGAGCCGATGGGCATGAAGTCCCGGTTGGTGTCCAACGGCCAGATCACGTCCTCCAGCACCTTCCGCACCTGGGGCCTCGAGGCCTTCACCTGGCACCCCCACTACGCCCGGCTGGACAAACAGGGAAAGACCAACGCCTGGACCGCCGCCACCAACAGCCGGGCGGAGTGGCTGCAGGTAGCAGACCAGCTGCACATTCCTGTTGTTGCTGTTTTCTTTTAGTCCCTCCTTTGCTGTGTTTGTGAAGTCAAGCGGTTTCTGTGTCCACAGGTGGACCTCGGGTCTCCCAAGAAGATCACAGGGGTCATCACACAGGGGGCCAAAGACTTTGGCTCCATCCAGTTTGTCACGGCCTTCAAATTGGCTCACAGTGATGATGGGCGATCCTGGACCATCGTGAAGGACGAGAGGACTGGGGCGGACAAGGTCAGTCCGGCTGTGGTCTCAAAGGATGAGCAATTGAAACAAATTCATCCAAATGGGGGGGAAAACTAAAGGAAATTTCAAAAAGGGAAAATGGTACCTGGAAAATCCAGAACTTATGCAATACAACATAAACGTACCAAATTAAAACAATGATTGTTAGTAGGGCTGTCAAAGTTAACAGGTTAATCTATGAGATTATTATGGCCAAGGCTAATTCTTTCTAAAGCTTGTTAAATGTTAACAAGGAGGGGTGGCGGACGATACGGCACGGCCGACCGGTGGTCACGATCACGCATGTGTGAGGACCGTTCTGTAATTCTCACAATAGCAAAGTCATGCAGCGGGCCGCACCGGCTTTGGCGGTGGGCTGCATTTGGCCCGCGGGCCGCAAGTTTGACATGGTTCTGATTTATATTTCAGTTTACATTCCCTTTTATGATTCAGCCAGAAAGCAATTTACCCGCCAAATTAAGTCATCACATTAAGTAAAGTGCTTTGACTCTTATAACTCAGAAATGAACCCCGAACCTAGAAAAAGTCGAGTCGTTTAGGGTTGCTTTGACCATTAAAACAATAAACAACATGTAATGTGTAAACAAGAAAATGCACAGTAAACGAGTGTCCAAAAATCTGTTTTTAAATTTTAAAAAGACGTCTATATTAAACTCTTTTTAGTCTTTAAGGAAGAGAGCAGAACAGATGGTCTGACCTGTCTGTCGTTTTTCATGGGCTCCTCTTCTCTGTGCAGATCTTCCCGGGCAACAGCGACAACAACGTTCACAAAACGAACATATTTGAGCCGTCGTTCTACAGCCGCTACGTGCGCATCCTGCCGTGGGAGTGGCACGAGCGCATCACCCTGCGAATGGAGCTTCTGGGCTGTGACGAGTAGTCCAGGTCCAGCCCCTCCTTTCTCTACCTCCTCATCCCTCCCTCCCTCTCTCCTTATCCCCCTCCCGAGCCACACCTGCACTGCCTTGCTCTCACCACCAGGGGGCAGCAAACCCCAGGGTAGCACCCGACCACCTCCAGCCCTGGCCGGTTGGCGGTGGGAGTTACCCTAAACCACTGTTACCAGTTCAGCTCACAGCCCTTTGTTCCTTTCCTGAATTGATCGCTCCTCTTTTCCACCTGAACCAAATATCTGATTGTTTCAAGAAACGACCACACGTCTTCTTTCCCTTTGTCACTGAGAATATTAACTGACTCCTCATCCCTGCGTCGGAGGTCAGGGGTAACAGGACTGCTGCTGCCTAGATTCTGATCCTGGATCAGTCCTACCTGGAACATTGAACCTCCGAGACCCACAGCCGGTGATGTATGTGAGGTCCACTACTCAGTTTGCTCTCATCATGTTACCAAACACTTCCCCTCAAGACACACAACGTATAACGTGTTTTTTCAGATGATACTGTGGTGCTTTCAGTTGATCATTCTTCTTTACCAAAAACTGAATCTGCTCATAATAAATGAGTTATTAGCAAGAAGCCTTTAACTCTGGTAGAAAAAAAGAAATGCAAATAAGTTGCAGGAAAAACTACAAATTGATGCCAAATGGTTAAAAAACGGATTTGCCGTATTTCTGTTTAAAAATGAGGCTGAAGATTTCAATCTGCGAGTATGCGTTTCAGTGTTGCTCACATTCCTTTTCAGTGCTTTGGGCAGTAACATCCTACATAAGTTTGAACCTCTTTAGAGGGTTAACATCCAACACTTTGACAAAGAATTCAGTAACAACAGAGGAGCGAACATCCCACTATTTACACGGATCTTATTCCGCTTTAAAGCCGACCAAAAGACAAATCCGCGTAAATCACTACTCCTCCTCTTGTGCCAACGCACCCTCAGACTTTTGTTTATGTGGATTTATTTAGAAATAAAAATCCAGTCGACACAGAACAAAGGAACATTCACACACATAATCTGGTGTTGTGGGACATTAAAGTCAGTCAACCATCAGTCGGATCTGTTGAGCAGCCGAGCAGATGTGGGCCTGACAGCCCGAGGATGTGATAAACAAGAAGAGGCTCAGATCCTTGTTGATTTAAAGAGAAGAGACGCTTTAGTCCTCCTGAGGAATGTCATAACAGCCACGGACGGAGGTTGTCATCAGCTGGTGACGTCGTATACATGAGCTTTCAAGTCTTTCAGAAAGAGGATTTAACATGTGACCATTATTTACAAAAATGCACACGTTTATGGTCTGTGAGATTTAATTTGTCTCATCTTTAACAGGCCGTTGAGATTATCACGGAACCTCTTCACATCGGGAAATTTTCACTTCAAGTGGGTATGAATCCCAAGAATGTCTGTGGCTGATCGATAAGCATCAGAAACTAAGAGATTGCTACTGAAACGTTCCTTATTCTCTTATCACACTCTCACACGGCTGTGCTTTGAGTGGTCCTCACATAGTTTCCCTTCATTTATGGCACCTTGATGTTTGTGTTTTGACATTTGAAATATCTAAAAATAACAAAAAAAAACGTGTTCAGTTGAAGCGCTGAAGAACAAACATTCATTATTCCATGTAGAAGTAAAAAAACATTCCCCTCGTTGAGTTTCTTTCGTTGCCGTGCTTTGGTTGTGTAGTGTGAATTTGTGACGTGCACATCTACAGCTCCGCTGTACTGAGATCTGTTTGCTGCATCTATTCAGGGTCCAACATTAAGCCTGCAGATCCCAGCTGAGGCCCCGCTGATAAGGCCGAGAGGGGGAAACCAAATCAAAAGAGATTTTATACGGTTGCACTGGACATGTGACGCGACCCCCGTCGCAGTTTTCTAAACACTCCCCATGAATTATGAATAATGGGCGCGTGCAATATTCCACCGTGTTAGTTTAGATGGCGATAAGTATTAATTCAGGATCCTTAAAAAATGCACGAGGGGACCACTTGAGAGGTAGAGGGTGGATGTCAGTGTCAAACACTGTACAATATTTCTTATTGTTGCAGACGGTCCCCCCCCTTGTTATCCACGTCTGCATGCATGTTAATGACTAGTGTTACTCAGCTGAAACAAACTCGATGTTCATTAACATTAACAACATACAGTATTGTAGATATCTTTGTTTCTCCACTGTTCAGGTGTTCTATGATCAGAAGACAATGTTTTTTTTGTTTTTTTTGTGGTATTAAATGATCTCTTGCTCTCCTGACTGTTGACCTCATAGACGTTTGGCTGAATTGGAAGCTTTTTTTCATTTTATTTCCAGTGTTGTATTTCTAAAAAGATTCCTTCTGTTTGGCTTGTGTATCTTAAAAGAAGATTGAATAAAGACCTAAAACAACAAATGTTTTATCGACTCTAAATGTGGAATAGATGTGGTCTGTTCTTCTTTGTATATATCCGAGTTGAATATTTACATTATATTATATCATCCTGCTGAATTAATTGGAGCTGTTTTCCATTTAAAAAGGTGGAGGATCAAAAGACGCAAAGCACAGAGGGTCCTTTTGCCTGTTTAGCATTTAACCCCCCCAAGGGGCCTAATCTCCCTTTATACCACTACCCAATCCTCCAAAGGTATCTTCACCCGAAGAGGGCACGCCCCCTCCCTCATTACCGCCTGTGAAGGTCACGCTAAAGGGTTGAAATCCCTCCGTAGGGGCTTGAGGGAGAATATACTCGCACTGTGAACCTGTGAAGGTTAAATGATGGAGGACTTTGTGCACCACCACTAAATACCGGCTAATAATGCCGCAAAGACAACTGTTGTCAGATGGGATGACCTCGTCTGTTTACCAACCGACCAGCTGCTTCTCCCTCGCCGGGTGGCTGGCGTTTGAAGCGTCGAGGACTTAATGACGGCCCTCTCCTGCGTGGCCCCCTTTGTTGTTCGATGGAACTCCAAATCGCCATCTTGTCTTCCCACTATCGTCCCTTTGCTATGCTCAGGTCATGATTCTTACACGGAGAATTCCTGTGTGTGGCCACATGTAGTCATGAGTCCGTGGAAACAAACGGCAGCGCGAGAAACAAACAAACAGAAAGCTCTCAGATGCAGTTAGTGTTATCTTTATGGATTTCATTTGAAAGACATAAAATCATTGGATGGATATTATTAAAGTCACTTTTTATGTGGGTTATTTAGCCAGCTCTTTGAAATGATAAAGTAAATCTATTCCAGTGTCCCGAAGGCTTATTGACGCTACATATGATTCATATTTAAAGAAAATAAAAATGTTTTATTGAGGGTCAATAAACGCACACAACTGACTGACCTCTCCAAATCGCACAGCCTGATACATTGGATCCGACTGACTTGGCCTGCTGGCATGGCACCGGCCAAAGGAGGCAGGAAGCTGGAGGCCCTGCGTCGGGACCGAAGAGGAAGGATCCACTTCTGCAAAAACAACCGCCACTGTAGATCAGGTATGTGGGACGTCTCCAAGGACGCCATCTAAAGAGGGGAAATCGCGTGTTATTTCTGCTAAAATAAGTGCTCTGAACTGTTGATTTGGCAGGTGATGAAAGGCTTCTGTCATCTCCACACCCCATATTTGGCATCTTGTATGTTTGGTGGGTGCCAAACTTACATCGGCGAGTGACGAAAAATTGTCGTGTTTACTGTTATTTTGGCCCATTTTGGGCCTCTATCTTTTAATCAAGCTGGAAAGTGTCCCCTCTGAGACCTGCAGTTCACTCGGCTGTGTCATTTTCAGTCGCACTAAAACCACACACACACACACACACACACACACACACACACACACCTTCTGCGTGCAGTCTCTGCGGGACCTCTG